CTTTATAGAGATCCACGTCATTTTCTCCTTACGGAAACTGAGTCCATCTCGCGGCGATATTGCGTACTATGCCGCTTGCCTGGCAGAGTATATGTACACTATAGGCGTATGTATACTACGGACGCCGCGGCGCCGCCAAGTAAGCGGCGTAGTACGCAGTACCACCGCGAGATGGGCTCGTTTTCCATAAGGAGAAAATGACGCAGATCTCTATAAAGAGGCGTATGCGAATGGAATTCATCACTCTTAACTTGATCAGAGTGTGCTCATGGAGCCTCTGAAAATACTTTTTTTTTATATAGCTATTTATGAATAACTTTATTTAACTAACTATAGTTAGATTCATGACGCATACTCGTTTCCTGCATTTTGTATCATATCGAGACGCGGGTATATTCTTGTAAAAAAGTACTACTGCGCACTGCGCAGTAGTGCACAGTAGTATTTTTCTACAAGGGTTTAACATCCTAAAAGACATTTTAGGACGTCCACTGGATGAAATTTGGTTATCCAGAAACAACCTAATGATATCTGAATGATGATGTCCTATGGATGTAGAATAAGCGGACATTCGAACATCCTCAATATGTCCTAAATACCTCCTAAGTTTCTTCAGATACGTACTCAGGATGTTTGAAAATCCCTCGACATACGTCTGTAGGATGTACCTAGGATCAATTTTTGCTATGTGGGATTACATCCCATTTTTTAGACTCCCCCATTTCCTCACTTTTGACTTTTTTGTTAATGTCGACGTTGGACTTAAATTTTGGTGACTTTCATTTATTGGATGTTGTAGCTACCATATTCCTCAAGACTTCTGTTTAAATTTGAAGTCTTCATATGCATTTATATCGGAGCAATGTTAATTTAAAAAAAGCTATTCCATAATCCCTACTTTTACCCTATGGAAATGGTTGACACATCGCTCATCCGTACAAATTATTCACCTCGCAATACATAAGATACTACGATGGTTTCAATAAGTCGTACGAACGCATATACTTATTATTAGCCTGCGCGTATCTGCCGGAACATTGACTGAGGCCACAATGTATTGTAGAAAGACATAACGAAGAATATAATAATTTTATCTGTTATACTTACATCATCAACATTTTATATCTCACTTCTCCACGGCATTAAATATCTAGTGAACAGCGTTCAACCGATATTGTACGACTGTCGAACTGCCCACGAACGATTAGCGAAAAACGTATGGGACCAATCGGTAAAGTATCCTTTGAAAAAGTGCTAGCAATTGTTCATAGCACAAAACGCTAGTCCGTAAACAGAATATTCGTACCGTGTCTCAAAAAATAACAAGGATTACAAATTTTACAAGACTGACTGAATCTCTATAACTCTTTTTATGTGATAAAGGACTGATTTGTCGATTAACTGATTGAGTGACTGATCTATCGCTGGAGCATTCTACGAGCACGAGTTCCATCGCGCTACTCATCCGGACGTGTATCTCGTGGAGTAAGTATTGCGCAGGAAAGGAGACAAGATATATGTCAAATGGCTGGGATTCGATAGACCGCACAATTCGTGGATACACAAAAAGAATATCATTTTATGCAATTTTGATTCGTGTATTTTTTTATGCATATAAAATATAAGTATATAAATCGTATTTTTTTTTATTATTCGCCATTCATCTCTCTTTGTTTGAAGTATACAAAATTCATAATTATTTTTAACAGTATATGTACGGAGTAAATGCGTAATTTTTTTAAAACATGTATAGAGATATAATACATTCTATACATAAGTAATAATACATAACAGTGACACTTATAGAAGTGTAAATTAAGATATTAGTAATACATAAATATAATAGTAATATATAATACGTACGAGGGTCGTCTGAAAAGTTTTGAGCCTGACATAGAAACAAGTAATTTTTCGGTCAAATTCAATTTTATTTTTCCACATAATCTCCTTTTAAGTCTATACATTTTTTCCACTGATGCTCCCACCCTTTAATCCGTTCAAATAATACTGAGCGTCTTGCTTTGCAAAATAAGCGTCTACGGATGCGATGACCTCATCGTTCGATGAAAATTTCTGTCCTCCGAGCCAAACTTTGAGCCTAGGAAACAGAAAAAGTCGCTGGGGGCCGGATCTGGTGAATACTGTGGATGGTCAATTAATTCGAGCCGCAATTCGTGAATTTTTGCCATAGCGACATCCGAAGTGTGAGACGGTTCGTTATTTTGATGGAACAGCACATTCTTCTTTTTCAAATGCGGTCGTTTTTTCTGAATTTCTGCCTTCAGCTTGTCAAGCAATGATGTGTAGTCCGTCCATGTTATTGTTTTACCTTTTTCAAGATAGTCGATCAACACAATTCCATGACTGTTCCAAAAAACAGTCGCCATCACCTTTCCCGCCGATAAAACCATCTTTGCTTTCTTCGGAGCAGGTTCACCCTTCGCAGTCCACTGTTTTGATTGTTCTTTCATTTCAGGAGTGAAGTGGGGGACCCAAGTTTCATCAACCGTTATTAATCGACGCAAAAAATTCGACTCGTTTTGCTTAAACTGCTCCAACAGGGCCTTAGAAATGTTCATTCGAATGCGTTTTTGATCCAGAGTGAGCAAGCGCGGCATCCAACGCGCGGTTAACTTACGCATGCCTGATTCTTCAGTCAATATATGACAAACACGTTTTTTTGATATGCCAGCAGCCTCTGATATCTCCCTAATCTTAATTCGACGGTTGTCCATTATCATTTGATGAATTTCTTCGATGTTATCGGTGGTGGTCGCAGTTGTTGGCCGTCCCGAACGCTCATCATCAGTTAAGCTGACAATGAAAATGACCCGATCGGGCTCGAAACGTTTGGATGTTGTGTTAATATTGTATAAAATTGTTTATTATTTACAATATATATTTATATTTAGAAATTTGTATGTTGGCTCTTTGCCCTTATATACTTCGAAATTATTTAAAATACTAGTAATATATTACGTATGTGAAGGTACAATAATAATACTAGTAATACATAATAAATGCTATTAAAACATACTAATAATACTTGTATAAATGTAAAAACGTATAATACATAAAATTTAAATTACAATAATATTAATAATAGATAAAAAAATTTAAAAATCATAATATAAAACATAGGATACATATATTACAAAGTTACCCGCCAATGCCCCCATGATATGTCTCTGTCGAGTCCGGTACGATGTATCGTTTGTCATCGTATGGATTCAGAACAATTTTCGATTCAGATATCGTGTACACCTCGTATCCCATTCATCTCTCTCCGTTGGCGGTATACAAAATACAAAATTATTGTTGACAACATATGTTTAGAATAAAATAGAAAATACGTAATTTTGTTTTTAACAACATATATAGAGATAGAATACATATTATACATAAGTAATAATACATAATAGTAACACTTATATAAGTGTAAATTATAATGATAGTAACATATAATATATATAAATGTAAAAACAAAGAAGAATGATTTATGAAGTGTAAATTAATAATAATAGTAATATATA